ATATTTAAAACGACCCTTAAATTATGTTTGTAGTTATTCCATTGTCCTCAATATATTTGATTGTAACAGTAGTACGATAGCTTTTCTTCCATTAACTCAAAGGGGTCTATTGTGTTCTTTGACCAACCAGATGCATTTGTATTTATATGGCAATATGTACGTAAAGAACTTAATAGTTTTTTCTTTCCAGATCGAAAGTGTGTACCCGGAACATACAAAAATTACCCGAATCAAACTAAAATTCACAAATTTCTATGTGCAAGGGTGATATTAACAATAATTTTAGTCGATTATTCTTAACAAATATTGATCTTATATGTAAATTATACTTTTACTTTCCAAGCTATAATGAAGTCCACAACTTAGTATATTGGAGCCAGCCAGCTAAAGTTAAGAAGTTTTTCCTTGTTCAACTATGTCAGTGGATAAGTGAAAATCTGTCTTGAGAATTTCGGAATGTATACGTAGCAATCATTTTGACCATTCTTTGTTTTTGGTGATACTACGTGACAATTTCTGGACCATTCTTTTCCAAGTTTGATCCTTACTTACAAAATTGGCTTTACTATTTGTGTAATGTTCATTCTAATTTCAACTGATCAATTATATGTGGTTTACCCTAGAGAACTTTATGTATTATTTCACACATGAATGATGCATGCCCAATAATTTTCCAATGAGAGACATCAACAAACGCAATTATTTGTCTGTTGGCAAAAAGTTTATGACGATGGGAGGCTATCTTATTCCAAGATCAAGTATATTAAGGTTTTTTTAAGGACTTATATAGGAGGTTTTAGTTTTTTAATTTTTTTTATTTTTATATAGATTATCCATCAAAAGAGATTGTCAGCAACGAAACTCAAACCTAAGCCTTGATAGTAAAGAGAATGATCCTTACCAACTTAACCAACCTTCGTTGGCACAAACTCAATTATTTATACGTACCCACGTCATTAGATGTTCGATCTACTCTCACACCTCCTTTTTTTCCTGTACAATAGAAACAAAAACATACAATTATTTGTCAATCAAGAAACTGAGTTTAATTAGTTTCATGTATGATGTATTGAAGAAAGTCATGCGATTGGACTCCAGAAAATCTGACAAAATCTATATCAAATATATAAAATCAGAACCGGACCCCTTTTTTTCATGTCGAACATTTGAGACATTTGTCATTCATGGCATATTTTGCGAAATATAGGACAAGAAAAAGTGAAAACTAAAACAACGACAATATATATTTCAATTATTCATGCATATATATATACCTCTTATTCGGCAGTTTGGAATCCAATTTATAATACCAAGCCAAGATACGTGTTACCATCATAAAACATTAATTTGATTATATATATATATATGTGAAAACAATTACAGATATGATAGTAAGATATGCAAAGCGCCTTGCAGAAAACAATTTGTTAAAGTCAACTATATCCCTTTCATCCCAAAGAAAAAAAAGAAAAAAAAAATTACGTCCCTTTCATGCATAATATTTTTTTAATTATATGCATGTCACAGGGATAGCATTAGGATGTTTTGGGCACTTGCCAATGCCCCATCCAATAATAATTCATGAGTTCCCCATTATCACTTGAAAAACCTCATCCCCACCACTCTACTAATTAGTATTTTTATTATTTTTAAAAAAAAATAGAGAGAGGGGTAGGGTTTTAACTCATAGTTAATTAGTGTTTAGCAGTAATAATATTGGAAATCTATGTTGGAGGCAGTACATGGGGCTCTCCTTTCCCTTTTAAGATGCCACATTTAAGCAATCATATACCAAAGTTTCTCCCTTCATCTTTTTGCCTTCCCCATCCAAAATACTAATATAATGCAATGGAAACTTTCACATATGGAAGTCCACATCATATTTAGGTGCAATACAACAAAAGATTTGGTTAATTGAGGCTAGCTCCTCTTTACCTTAACCAGTCTCCTAACTTGGGAATGATGACTTGGCTCTCTTATTTATGGCATTTAGGTGAGACCCTATCTTTTAATTGTTGAATCAAATTAGTTAGCCGTTAGATCAAATGGATTAGTCTGATTCAATGATTAAGAAATATGACTTCACTTAAAGATCATATATAAGGCCCTCACTATATAATGACTCATACGATTATTGCCTATTGAAATGGGCCCTTTTGTGAAGAGCCCTTATTATTTTAAGTTCTAGCGTTAAAAAGCTAGAAGACTATGATAAGAGAAAATAAGTAGAAGCATTGTTTATTTTTTCTATAATTTTTTGTTTTTGGGTTAAGAAAATTAAGAACTGTTGTTGTTACTTCAAACTTCTTACAGAATCTTTTTGGTATAATTCTTCCAGAATCTCTTTTCTAAGAGCATCTCCAGCGCTAGGGCTTTGCCCTGGCAACAGGCCCCCCCAAGCCTAGTTTCATACTCGAGCGCAGGAAATCCAGCACGGGCAAAGCATGGGACCCACCAGCCCAGGCAAGCCCATAGGCAGAAATTGACTGGGTTGTTACCCGCGGGCTGTTGACGTCAGCAGCTGATTTTCAAATATTTTTTACTGTTGGACCCACCAATCCACATTGCCCAATGGTTACAAGCCACGTGGCTTCTCCTGGAGCCTCCGATCAAAAAATCTTGCACAATCCAACGGTTGTCCAATTTTTGGCTAAAAAAAATTGAAAAAAATATCAAAAAATTTAAAAAAAATATTCTGGAAATTTTTTCTATACATACCTACCAATATTATTCACTTTCCACACCAAATTTAATTTCAAAATTTTATCCGAAAATATTATCTGATTTTTAGGTGAGAATTTTACGATAAATATTAACACTTGGGAATCGAAAATCTTATTTGAAAAGCTTATCAAAATCAATGGTTTAAGTATAAAAAAAAATAAAAAATAAATTTAAGTGAATAGTAATTGCCTTAGTCTTAGCCTTTTGGGGTGAAACCACAAATGGCAAGACTGCCACTATTCACATGAATAGTGGTAGGCAGCCCTTGCCTTGCCCTTGCCCTTACTTTAGCCTTAGCCATTTGGGATGAAGATGCTCTAATAGGTTCCCATGCCACAAATCTCGCTCCAATGTATCAAACTCAAGACCTTTTCTTTTCATCAAATAATTATATTATGTATGTGTCTATGTAAGCAGACGCTCACCATCACATGATTAATTGCTTTGAGACCCAAAAGGATTATAACATAATATAAAAACCTTCAATATAACAAGGCCTGTTACAATACAAGTGGACGACGTAGTTGATATTTTTTACTTTTAAAGTATACAATCAATAAATCACTATTTATATTATAACACAAGTAAATAGAATCTACCAGTACAATTCATGTAAGAAAGTAAATGAAATTTCCCCGAACAAGGTATATATAAGTAAATACTATTTTCGAAGGCTAATGAAATTCAAACTAATTCATGCAAGTGCATATTATATGCATCATCCCCCTCTCTCATGGAACAATGAATCTATTTCATGACTCAAAATAAAAATTCATGCAAGTATATATTATATAGGCCATATATAAATATAATTATTATAAAATGAATGCTGATGGTCCTTTTCTATGTAGTAAGTATTATTATATATGAAAGAGAGGTTTTGTGTTCCCTAATAATTTTCTGTTTTCTGTTTCCTGAAATCAGAAATTGGAAATGGGAAAATCAATTTCTCTCCCTCGATAGCATAAACACACCACACCAAGCAGACGCACAACACAAAGCCAGATGGCTCCTCCTTATAGTTCCTAACGCCTCTGCCCCTCAATACTCATCATGCATAATAAGCAAAGCCATTTCCCCATATAAACCCATCACCCTTCTCCCTCTCTCAACATTCTCACCAAACCAAACCTTTTTTTTAAGAACCCCTCTTCTTCTTCTTCTTCTTCTTCTTCTTCTTCTTCCCACATCTCTCTCTTTTCTAGAAACAAACACAAACATCCCTTTGTGCAGCAACATCCAGCTATGGTGGTTCTTTCTCAACCCGCTGCATTAGACCATTTATCTGATCTGATCAAAGCATGCAAGCCCACCAGCTTGTTCACTGGAATTCCAGTCGTGGACCTCTCAGACCCTGAAGCAAAACACCACATAGTCAAGGCCTGTGAAGACTACGGCTTGTTCAAGCTGGTCAACCATGGAGTGCCATTGGACTTCATGACCACGCTTGAAGCCCAAGCTCTCAAATTCTTTAACTTACCCCAGTCAGAGAAAGAGAAGGCAGGCCCTGCCGATCCATTCGGCTACGGAAGCAAGAGAATTGGCCCAAACGGTGACGTGGGTTGGATTGAATACATCCTTCTCAACACCAATCCTGATATCATCTCCCCCAAGTCCCTCTCCATTTTCAAAGAAAACCCAGAAATTTTCCGGTAAAATTTTCTCAACAGGAAAACAGAGGACTCTGTTTTAATCCTCTGTTTTACAAAGAAACAAAACAAAGACGCATACAAAGTAATCTAACTTTTGTTCCATTGGTTTTGCTTTCATTTCGTGTTACAGTGATGCAGTGTTAGATTTTATCTGCGCGGTGAAGAAGATGACCTTTGAGGTATTGGAATTGATGGTTGATGGGCTGGGGATTGAGCCAAGGAATGTGCTGAGCAATCTTCTAAGAGAGGATAAGAGCGACTGTTGCTTCAGGCTAAACTACTATCCGCCATGTCCAGAGCTTCAGGCATTGAGTGGACGAAACTTGATTGGGTTTGGGGAGCACACAGACCCACAGATCATCTCTGTCCTGAGATCAAACAACACATCAGGCCTGCAAATCAGTCTCAAGGATGGGACTTGGGTTTCTGTCCCACCTGATCAGAACTCCTTTTTCATCAATGTTGGTGATTGTTTGCAGGTACCAATATAAATGGAATTATTGTTTTTTCCTTCACCTCTTCTTTTTATACATATTATTTGTTCTGCTTGGGTAATAAGGTCAAATCCTAACTTCTGGCAGCCAACTTGCATTTTGCCTCTTTACTTCCTTCCAAACACTCTCTCACAACAAAACATCACTTCCTCTTCTGCTCTTGCACGCCATTTTCTTTTGGGGTAAATTTTTTGGGCGTTTTGGAGTGATTCTAGATATGCCAAAATCACTTTACAGAGAAACACATGGAAGGTGACGAGCCCTTTATGTACTGTTTTTTGTGTGGAAAATGTGAGTTCACTAATTTTGGAAGTGGCTTTGATGCAGGTGATGAGCAATGGGAGGTTCAAGAGCGTGAAGCATAGGGTTTTGGCAGACACTACAAGTTCAAGGATTTCAATGATCTTCTTTGGAGGGCCACCTTTGAGTGAAAAGATAGCACCTCTGCCGTCACTTATGGCAGAAGGAGAAGAAAGCTTGTACAAAGAGTTCACGTGGTGTGAATACAAAAAGTCCGCGTACAAGTCAAGGCTGGCTGATTATAGGCTAGGGCTGTTCGAGAAATCTGTGCCAATGATGTCAAATTCCCAATTTTAGGAAAAAAATGTTTTAGGTTTTGTTTAAAGCTCAGAATAGCTCTGAAAAAGTCGACTCTAGCTGCTCAGTTTGCCATAGAAGGCAAACAAATAGGTTGTTATCGATCTTCTTCTTTCTTTTATTTTTCCTTCGGTCCCTTTTCTTTTGACTTGGTTTCTTCTTTCTTTCTTTTTCTTTTGTTCTTTGTTTCAATGTAACAAGAAGAACCACCTTCTGCCAATGCGAGTTTGTCATCTTCATGTCTTTATGTTGAAAGCACTCTGTCAAGTTTCCTAAGATAAACTGAAATTGGTAGTGTTACATGTATGTCTTGATTTATAAAAAAGGTATTCTAAATCTGAATAATCCATTTCCACATATGTAAAGATGTTGAGTCTCGAGATACATGTAAAAATATATAATCTTTAATAATCAAACTTCTATCTTGACCAAAAAAAAATTAAAAAAAAAATCACCTTCTATCCTTAATGCTAGTTTGTCACCACCATGTCAAAAACATACTATTGTCAAGTTTCCTTAAATAAATTGAAAGGAGTATGATAAAACCAACATGTTAACGGTGACCTCGTTAAAACTTCTCCGGGAAAAATCACGGAACAAAATCCCAAAGTAAAAAGAGTACCACATATGCTACATACTACCAAAGAGTCAATAATCAAAACATAATATCTAAACTCCATGATAGGAAAGAATATCATCATCTAACCAAAACAAAAAGCCCTCCTAGCGAAAGATTGAATCATGCAATGCAATCCGCAAACTCCATTAGCAATACGGAGAACTTACGTGTATCAACTTTATCCATTAGTTATTGGTTTAATGTCTGGATCATCCATTTCCAGTTTTTGCAGATAAAAATAAATATACCATCTGTAAAAATCGACCACATATAAATATATATATATATATATATATATATATATGCACACATATCTTTTCTGAGGTTATTTTGAAGTTCAACAATTGGAACCGTTTATATTTTAGGTAATCTTTACAAAAAAAATATCTAAATTTAAAGTTATTTGGTCATTTTAATGTGAAAAAGAAATGCAATTCATTAGATAAAACTGAAACAATTATATGAATAATCAAAACAATTTCCGATTCAATTCATCTTTTGCATAAACAATCATTAAAAAAACCTAAAAATCAAACGATTCCGATTATTAAAATCATAGTTGAGAAACCGAACATCCTTTTATTATAATGATGAGATTCATTTATATCGAAAGGTGGAAGTGGAACTACTCACAAGCCAAAACAAATGGCCAAGTTTAGGGGAGATATCCATAACTAACCCTGTGGTCCCTCCACCCGTTGTGGTCTTACTTTTGGCCCTCCTTACATAATAAAATCATGGTCCTGCACCTGTTTATGCATGTGAATTCTATTCATATGGTCTAAAACTTATAATATATACCATCACATATGTACGAAAGTCAATAATGCACAGTAGGTTATGGTGGGGATTTGGAGTTGTTTTTTCTTTTGTTTTAGGTGAGTGAATGAACTAAAGCTTGGTGAACTGTGAACCTATGAGGAAAGTGTTGAGAGAGAGAGAAAGAGAGAGAGAGAGAGGAAGTTGGGTCGGCAAGGAGGACATAAAGTATAACTATTAACAAGGAGCTGCCCGTGTGCAATATTCTTCAAATTTAAGCCTACAAATACTCTGATGGAGGAACTTTAACCGAGGCCGTATGTCATTTTCTCAAATCAATTTTTAGGTTCATTAAATCAATTTTTGCCATTTAACGCACATATAATATTTCTACACATTATTTTTTATAAAATAAGAAATATTTAATTTCAAGACCTATTCACACACTAAATTTTTTATGCAAGTGGTGACTAGGATCTAGTCATTTGGAAGCAAAAGTAATGCTTTCCTATTTGTAAATTAGGTTTTTCATTTGTCCATAGTCTATGCCAATACTCGGAGCTCAGTTCCTTGCTGTGCCTGAGAGGCCACCCCAATCATTTGTTTAAGCAAATTAATTTATAGAAAGACTAATAAGAATCCATAAACATAAAGGGGTTCATAAACCAAGTTTCAAAGCTAATTAAAAACCAAGATTAGAGCACCTCCACCCCAAAAGGCAAGGGCAGACAC